ATCCGACAGGGCACAATGGAAGAACATTGTTAAGCAGGACAAAACTCACAAAAAGTTGTAGCGCCATTAGAAGAAGAAGAAGAAGATTTAACACAAGTTTGCCATTTGCATCTTTCAGTATTCCCGGTTTTCTTTTTCTATTGTTGTTAGTTAATTCTTTAATTTTTTGTGTGTGTGTTCAAACTATCATTTCTTTTTTGGTATTCTTCTATTTCTGCGCATTGTTTTTTTAACCTTTCTTATATTGACGTCTTTCTTACATTAAATCTAAAATTTCTTCCGTTATCCATTGCTTCTTTTTATATCTAGTTGGTATTAGAATTTCTTTTTGACTTTTATCTATTCCTGTCTTTATTAATAACCATTTTTTCTGTCTCACTACTTTGCAGAATTTGTTCTTTAACATTCATTAATCCGTTGATTTCATCTGCCAGGCATTGCCTTATCAGTGAGTTCCTTAATTTACTTGTATCGATTGTTGCATTTGTTGTTCTTCGTTTTATTCCTTTTATTTTGAGCATAATTTTGGTCACTACTGTTTCTTACAATTCTCTCTTCTTGATCTACTGATGACTTTCCGGTATATAGTCTTCTCTTTGTCATTTTGAACAATGTATTAGCTATAACCAAATTATTTTGTTTTGCAAAATTCGATAAGTCTGTCACCTCTCTCGTGTCTGTTGCCAGACCATATCTTCCTGTACATTCTTCTACTTTTTCTTTTCCAACCTTTGCGTTAAAGTCTCTCATTATAATTGTTACATCTTGCGTTTTAATGAATTTTACAATGTTGTCTAGGTCTAGTCTAAAAAGAGAAACTAAAAATACCTAAATACTTTAGAAGTTGCTTTTAATTATGATCACAATTGTATAAAAAAATATTTTGTACATTTTTTTAATTTGGTTAAAAAAAATGGTGTACCCAATGGTATCACCAGTATAAAATATATTATAAAACATAATTATTATATATAACCAGTAGAAATAATGAACATTAAAATACATAGAGACCAAGGAAACATTTATTCAAAATACATACAACCTATATATAAAAAACCATAACTAATTATGAGTGAAATATTTTAAGACACTTTTCACATTCATCTAAGTGGCATTGGTGACATCTTAGAGGATTCGTGGATCTTTTAGGAAAATGGCCATCAGGAGTATCCAGTATACTCTTTGGCAGCGAGCCAGATGGTTTGAAAGATGGAAATCGTCTTTTTTATGGCTTTGTTAAAAGCTCTGAAGTAATGAAGGACAATATTTCTTTGAAATAGTAGAGAATCTATTTTGTCATTTTTATTTGTAGTCCTATATAGTTTCCAAGTTTTGACAACTGTATTTATCATATAAGTAAAGAGTACCCACCATCATTTTTTTCCATGTATGCCGATTCTGTAAATATTTAAGCCTTGATCGAGTAAGTCCACACCCCCAATTTATAAATTGTAGGATTTTAATAACTAGAGTATATAATAATAACTAGAATAACTAATAACTACCATAGAGGGTGTGACTCTATGGTATCGTAATTGGTACTCATGGTTACAGCACCGTTGTCGTTCCATCTTACAAATAAAATAACACTTTCTTCATCGTAGCAATGATCATAACATCCATGATCTTTTCTCTTCATCTCTTTAAATTATACAAGGGGACAATTTTTGATACGATTATCACGAACTGTGCCTGTAGCTCTGATACTTTTTTGTTTCAATGTCACTAAAAGTTCGTAACTCGCAAAATAGTTATCGAAAAATATTATGTGAGCAGTTGAAACTGTAATAATACTAAGGAGGTCTAAAACAACTTGTGATCCTAGTGGCAGTTTCAAGTTTTTCTCTGTAGTATTTATCAAAAGCATAAAAATATCCAGTAGAACTGCACAACATCAAATGCTTGTCGCCAAAACGTACGGAATTTTATTTAATGAATTGCTTCGCCGAATGGTGGCCAAAGTATTTGACCATTGCCTCGTCGATGGATACATATTTATGAAAAATGCCCCATTGTTGAAACTTAGCATTTATTAAATCCATAAGCGGTCGTAGTTTAGATATTTTATCAATTTTGTTGAGTTTAGTATTATCTGCCAAATGTATTTACTTTTTAATTTCTGTAAACCTATTTCTGCTCATTGCGTTGAAACTAAATGGAACATTCAGATCTTCATCAAAATTCAAATACCTACAATTACAACTTCATCATCAAATAACCGTTCAAAAACTTGTAACGTAGTTAGTTCTGCACGTTCAGCTTTTACCTTTTCCATTCGTTTATTATAGATTCCATTGGTACCATTCATGCTCGTATTCACTGCTTTACAACACGATGTGGTATCTCCGATTATACAAAATAAAAACGAAAACGACAAAAATAACAGTACTGAAAATATTTACGAAACTACAGCAACCTCTAAATTTTTATATATGGTGTTACTTATATGGTGTTATTACTTATATGGTGTTAAAATGGTTAATAACCTATCGGATGTAACAAAAAAAGAGACATACTATTTTACAGCATTAAAAAACAACAAAAAATAAAAATATATTCCCGGGACTCTGAAACATACCGAAACTGGTAGGACATTTAAACAGTAAAAAAATTGTGCATCATACGTACCAAATGAAAGAGGATAGAGCATACAGAGTTGTAATTGTAATTCGTAATCTACATCATACAGTGCCCATTAATATAATATAAAATGAAATAGAAAAACATGGGCATTTAGTACGCAATATTGTAAATATAAAACACAGAGTAAGTAAGGACCCTCTAATGATGTTCTACGTCGATATAGAACCTCATCAAAATAATAAAAAAATATATGAAATTCAATTTACAAACAACGCGAAAATAAATATTGAGCCACCCACGGTATAAAAAAAATAATATTGTCCAGTGTTGTACCAAATGTTAATTGTATGGACACTCTTAGACATACTGTAATATACCTTATCACTGTATCAAATGTGGAGGCAACCATATGTCAGCCGATTGTAATAAAACCTAGGGACACACCTGCCATATGCACCTCTGCAATGGAGCACACAGAGCAAATTACAAAGGATGCATGGTATATAAAGAGTTAATTAGCAGTAGAAACAGAGCAAGAGGAGTATCATCGCACACTTCGGCGAACAATCAACTGCAATATCAATATCATATCAACTGCAAAATCGCGCGACTTCCACACAAGCAACAGGTAAAACAAATGTAAATAATGTCCATAATAATACGAACTCATACAACAAAATCATGCAACTTACGCTTAAATGACATCTGGATCACATGTATGTAATACAAACAGTGACATTGGAGATATGATGAAGAGTTTCCTTAACGAATTCAAAGCTATCTTGTCACAACTAATAAATCAAAATAGCGTGATCTTGAATATGCGTTCCACAGTAATAAATAAATTTAGTAATGGAACTTAAGTCACTACGAATTGCACAATGGAATGCTAACGGCCTAGGCAATCATAACACAGAAGGTACTAACTTTCTTAACCATAACAAAATTGATGTTCTACTCATATCGGGAATCCATTTCACTACAGAACGATGTTCAATTAGAATATCTGCCAGTCCACCCAACGAGGAATCAAGACAACTACACCTCCAATCAGAAGTCAGACGAAGATTGAAGAGACAGTAGCAAACAGACTTTATTCACTAATTTCAATTTTAATGTTAATATTTATTTCAATTTTAGTTTCAAATTATAATTTACAATTCAGTGGATAATTTCTCCTCTTATGTATTTGCAATACTCACATTTACTAATAGCTTATAATAGCAAATTGTAAATTTGCAAATTTAATAAAAAAAAATAGTCATAAGTGACAGTGTGTGGTAGTTTTCACATCTAGTAGTAGTTCCTTTTTTGTGTAGCAGGATATAAATTGAGGTACAACAATCAGATGCCCATTTTACTGAATTTGTAGCATTTGGTGGTAGAATAAATTGATTGTGAGTAAGTCTTATTCTTTTTAACTTTTTACCTATTTAAATTAGATATATGTACAAAGGATGAATGAGTTCTGAAAGAGTTTTTTACAAGTCAAACTTGGTGTACCTGAAGTTCCTAGTTCTATGACCATAGGTCTGACTGTCATTGGTTGACAGGTAAGATTACAATAATTTTTTATAAAAACTGAAGGCAAATTTTGTCCGGAGTCGTTGTGAAGAGTCCTGTTTCAAAAATGAACATATTGTTTTAAAATATAAAATCAAAATGTAATTCTTTGACTTTTCTTGGTGCAGAATAACTAGAACAGTCACCTTATCAAGTTTGAACACGACACCCGACTGAGTGGCGTCTGACGTCTGACTCTGTTAAATATTTTTCACACCTAAATAAAATAGGGGTAATATTCGCGTTCACGCATTATGTAGTGTTTTATCAGTTCAGTAAGATCAGTTCAAGTTGATACATGGCCATCGAGGCATCTCATCGAGTAGTTAAAAACTCGCAATTCACGTATTAAATATTTTTCTTCGCCGAGATCGGGCATTTTCTCATATCGGTGTTTTTTCTTTTACGTGTTATAAAGAAAGAGTACATTTAATATTGTATAGTAAGTTATGGCCGTGTTATGCCTCTCTACTCTTAAAAGATTTAATAACAAATCGATAAACTCAAAAGTGATTTTATTTCTGTGGAGCAATATTTGCTCACATTCAGAAGCCTTATCCTTCAACGGTCACTGAAGAACCAAAACTATGGAGATGCATCCATTCACAAGTCTTTTGAAGTAAGGCTTGAAATCCAAAGATTTCCAACTCTCGTAATGTAGGTAGCCAGATACAGGGCTACCTCAAGTTCGTTGTTCGGAGTTGTCTTCCTATTTACCTACATTATAAAATTTTCGGTGACCTCAAAACTGTCCGTTCAGCAAAGGTTTCCGTTATGGGGAGGTGTCCGTTAGCAGAAGTTTTACTGTATAATATGCTAAATTGTAAAAATTTTTTGAGATTGCTATAACTTACTTGTGAATTAATCGCACTGAGATGTAGCTGAGCAACTCGTAGATCGAATCGTTTCATCGATATATCCTCTTGTAGTTCGTTGGCCTTGTTGTAGAGAGAAGCTTCGACGGATTTCTGCTGGATGCGTAGCAAGGTATCAACTGCATCGTGAATTTGACGAATCTGCGCCTCGAGATCTAGAGCTTCCTTGTGGAGGACGTCATGGCTTGGTTTCAATTGGACAGCTGATAATTTATCTATGACTAGTTCGTCTCTAAGGGGAGGAGGTATGCTATCCTGAAAACATATAATAATTTTACACACTACATTTCAATATTAAAGTATTAAAGTGGGTTCTTTGGATAATATAAATAAATTTTAAATTCATAAACTATTAAAAGAAGTTAAGAGGTTTACACGGAATAAGCAAAAAAATAATACTTATTTTAAGTTTATTGTACAAGAAAATTGAGACTTAACTCTTGCTAACTATTAAAGGTTAAGAAAAAAAGGAAAGTAAAAAATTTTACACCTAAAAAACATAACAAATAGTGATGTTTGGTCTAAAATCAAACAGATAAAATTTTGGTACGATTTGTTTGTCATATACCATCGGTCAAATTGGGAGGTGTACCATTTTTTTCTTTAAAAAAATTGAGATTATGTTTACGTGTCAATGGTGAATATAAAATTAATAATTATATGCCAAAAAGTCTAAGATCTAAAAGAGAAGAAAACTTAATTGCACTCAGACCAACTAAAGAAAATCGTAGTTTTCGAGTAGTCTTAAAAATATACTGTTAGTTTTGATTCCCGCTCTTTCACTATGGTCCTTGAAGACATTCTCCGGTCAGTCATTATTTAGAAACTTTATTGTTTCCATCTCGTCCACGCATATTGCCATCTTGTTTGTTATAGCATTCACCCTTCTTTTATGAGCTTCGGGGTTCTCTTGGTCCTTTTACACCCCCATTGCTGTGATCTTCTTAACTTTTTAAGGCTTACATGTTAATGTGCACGACTCTGGATGATATGCATACATACTTCCTTGGAGCCTCTTCCTTCTTCTTAATTCCCCCACTTTCTCAATATAATCGAGCATCCGATTTCCCAGAATGTCGACCTTCCCCTTTATAGATAGTCTTGTGTTTGGCACTTCCCTCATGATTTTCTAGAGCTCCATACACTATCCGGAAAGCTCTAGTCTTTGATTTAGACGTTAGATTAACTTTGATTTAGCTTTGTAGTTGAGTAGCTATTTCTCTTCTTCATAGTGGTTGTTTTGTCCCCTTGCTCGTTTCCTTTTTTTTTTTCTGATCTCTTCTTCGTTGTTTTTTTTCGTTTTCTTACCTTAAATCTCCTTTTCATTTTATTTTTTTCGTCCTTTTGTCTGTTTTCTCCTTTGTCTTTTTCTTATTTACTCTTTTTATTTTTTCCTCCCTTTTGGTTCACTGTTTCTTTCTTCCTTCTCTATTTTTGCCGATGCTCCTACTTGCACCTTTTTTAGTTCAAATTATTTCTTTGCTTCCACTTCTCTCCTCCAACTTTACTCCCATCGAGTTTGAACAGTTTGAACTCTTTCTTTCTCTCCTCCTTGCTACTATTCTCTCTTATTCCCGATACTTCAGGTGATAATAAGGATACCAGGGGTGGGTGTCGTATGATAGTTCTTGTGAGTATTTACTATCTTACAGGGACAAGATGAGGGACTTGGGTGTTATCGCTTTTCCGGACGATGAGAAAACTGTGAAGGTATTTTACTAGAGTGGTCTGCCTTCATACGGGGAAACATAACCCATATCATTGGTCAAATTCAGTAGTGTATTTCATTTTTTCTTTAAAAAAAAATTAAGACCTGTATACGCGACAATTATGAATATAAAATTCTTAATTGTATGTCAAAAAATCAAAGTTCCAAAAAGGAGAAAAATACTCAGTTGTACTCATATCAACAAAAAAATCTTAGTCTTCGGGGAGTCGTAAAAAATATCAAGGCATCGACAGAACAGAAGGATCTAAAAAATAGACCTTGAAGGAACTGGTCCTTGTTCCGGTAAAAAAGTTTTAAAAATACCTCTCTTTATTTAATATGAAATTTAGCCACATAATAAAATAAACAAAGTCATCTTACCAAGTTACCAAATTAATAAACTCAATAGTTAGAATTGAACCTCCATATTCGAAACGTGATTATATCCAATGTCAGAGATATCAAAACTATGGTCATCCCAAAAAGTATTGTAACATAAATTTATGTTGTGTCAAGTGTTCCCTACAGGAAATTATTTCACTAGCCAATGCCTAAGGAAAAGTCCAAATAATAAAGGCTGTCAAATATAGAAAATATTGTATAATATTAATCGGTTAAAAAAAGAGCAGCTACTTTTTTTTTACTAATATTGATACGTATTTACGATGTTGTTGATGCATTGTGTTTTCTTAAACATCAATTGTGATATTTTAAACTCAACTTAAAAGAAAGCAATAACACCCTTTTAGAATATAACAACAAACTTAGGCAAATAATATTAAAAACAACAAGATCCAAATAAAAACGCATTACAACACGGTGTTGTATACAAACTTAATTGTGGCGAGCGGCCCAAATAAACTTACCATCGGTTCAAACTGGTAGGATAGAAATTTTAATAAACGAATAGCCAGAACAGTAAAAAGGGCTTTTTCAATTATTAGAAAAAACAGATTCTACATACGCACTTCACCTTCTAGATCATAATCAGTTCTCCCGTCCTCAACAATCTTCAGTATAAAGGACTGATAAAAGTGTAACACGCAGTACTAAAAATAGATCACTTGATAAAATGCACTCTGCCGAAACACACTTGTAGTGATAAGATTATATAATAAATATTGTGGTAAGTTTTTTAAAACTAAGTTTTCAGTGTTTTATTGTTACATCAATTTATAGATTACAGACGTGATATGTAGGTTGCATACTATCAGGCAATGAGTAAGGAATGTCTAAAAACACGGATGTGTTCAAATAATATGGGATTTAGAAACAAACAGATGGAAGCAGATTTTTTTAAATTTGCTGGGACACATATGTCCCCACAGTAATGAATGGGTTAAATACATATTATTCAAATGGACTTAAAAAACCGACATTTTAAAGCTCGGTAACTTGAAAACATTTAATTTCTGAGCCTTGGGGCAACAGTAACTTTTAATCAGCATAACAACCAAACTTTTTTTTTTTTTTGTGTGTGTTTTGGCTTGGACAATTGTCATTCAGCCAGTCTCAATCAAGATAAGTTTATTAATGTAGTGTGTCGTGTGTGTGTGTGTGGGTGTGTGTGTGTGTGTGTGTGTGTGTGTGTGTGTGGTGTGTGTTGTGTTTGTGTGTGTGAGTAATTGTCTTGATACTTAGCAAGTCGACGTCATTGTCTTTGCTAAGAGACGCTAATTGTATCCGAACGTCTGCGGTCCCTCCGGTGAGTACCGATCACACAAGGATAGAAAATTATTTTCATTTATTAATGTTTTTAATAAACGAAAACTTCCACCCAGGTGAGATTCGAACTTACGACCTTTAGGTTTAAAGGCAGGCGCTCTTACCACTGAGCCACAGAGGGGGTTCATGACCAAAACGACCTCTCTATAAAGCTTCAACCAATTTAACTGAAACCACTTTTACATAAGAAATTTGCCGGAATTCATTTTTTCATTTGTTGTTACTGTCGCTTCACACAGTTTAATATGATATACAGACGTTCCAAGAAACATCTAATCTCGTAAATGAAGTCCAGTATGAATCATTGGGTTAATCTATTTTGCTGATGCTTATATCAATACAATAATACCCAAATTATCTGGTAAATAGCTTCCCTAATGCATTGTATTAAACACATTATACCGACATCTCAGGAAAGCAGGTATCGTGTTTGTACAAGGGAGTTTATATACATAGGATGTTTGATAAGGGTTTAGTGTCGCAGTTCGCCTCCATTATTTAATATATTGACGGTATATTGGGAAGACGGAATGAGGAAATATAGTCCGGAATTATATTAACGGGGTAAATAATCCCCTTGTTGACAGACCATAATAAATTACCGCTGCAGACAACTGGGGCATAGATAAATGTGAATTTAATGGTTTACAATTATCGCGTATATATTTATAGTTTAAAAATACGTTATAACAGCGAATTACGAATTACGAATTTACTAGATAGAAACCGATCAGTTAGACCGAAAAGAGTTGAATGACAACAAAGCTAGTTATAATGCAAAGTTTTGTAGAAGATCCACACACATGCTCACGCAGGGTTGCACAAGTACATGATGTAGGTCGTTCTTCAGTGTTACGTGTATTACATACGAATATTTTTAAACAATACAAAATAACTTATTGCAAGAATTAATTAAATTAATTAACTTATTACTGATAAACTTGTTGGTGCCAATTTTTAATTAGATTGGGCAAGATGGAGCTCTAGCTTATTTTGGGGTAAATGCTCGGGTTATTTAGAAGAGATATTTCCAGGACGATGGATCGGTAGACGAGGTAGAATTGAATGGTCTCCACGTTCACCTGATTTCAAATTCCTGAAGATTATTTTGTGGGGATACTTGAAATATTAGTTTACAAAACTAAACCAGCAAGTCTTGCAGATCTAAGGCAACGAAAATTCATAAATCTCGAATTAATTTTTACACAATCATGGAAAAATGTGTAGACGCATTCTACCATCGATTTAGGGTACTGTCAACTCACAAATAGAGCACATTTTGAACACTTGGTAATAGTAACCATTGTGTTAAAAAATGTTGTAATCTATCAATTGTTACGTTTTAATGTAGTTAAAATAGTTAGTATTAAAAAAATTATTGAGACAATTAGGCGTTGCCCATAGCAGATTATTGTTAAAATAAATGGCCAAATACATGGTCTAGGAGGACAAATTCGTTAAACTTCCCGTGTTCAAATCGGTTTTAATAAAGGGTTATGTATATTTCGGGATCATTCAGCAACATCAGACACTTGGGCTGATACAAATTCAAAGAGACATTGGTTGAACTTTCCAAGTTTGAATTTGTATCAGCCCAAGTGTCTGATGAGGCTGGGATAGGCCAAACTGATTTTGGCTTAGTATGCCCCTGGCTTCTAAAATCTACGTTATTTCCCTCCGTTTTATTCGGCCCTTTGCTTTCTCTCTCCAATTTCTCACGCCTATTTCTGACAAGTCTTATTTTACTGTTTCTATCAATTCTTCTTTGGGACGTCCACTTCTATCTTTCCCCACTTCTGGCCTATCCTTTCAGTATTGACTT